TGATATTCCATAATTGAAAATCGGAATTCTTTCAAAGTATTTCATTCTTCTTCCTAAGTTGGAGCGAACAACAAAATGTCACTCCATCTAGTGGACGAGGTACTAACCAACTGCATATCCTAAATGTGCCCGATACTTCTGAATAAGGAAGAAAAATTTTCTTATTAGTCAGTGGGCTATGCTTGAAGACTGGCAGTAAACAAATCTATAGAAATGAGCTTTAAAATTGAAAACAACTACTCCCCTGGCTGATACCACGAAGGGCGTTGAATTATATACGTTTCAAAATTGAAGGTCGAATCTTTCAGTTGTATTGCCAATTGCAAATGCAGGAAATTTTGGGGATTCCTGCACTACAACTCCCTTCGTGGTATTAGCCAGGGGAGTAGTTGTTTTCTGATAGGCGTCAGTCCATTCAATCTACTGTATAGGTATATTCGAGACTAGCCTGAAAGTTTTAAATTCATTTCTTTAGATTTGAGAAACTCCGAGTTGAATTCTAAATTGAGTAAATAGTGTATTTATAATTATGACAGATATTAGTAGAAATTTTATAAGAATACTACAATCGGTGACGACCAGAATGAGAAATATGTTAAATTTTGTATGATGAGTATGCTGATAGATATTCCAATAAGTACCTATCAATGGATCAACAGTGAGTAAAATAACAGATACCTGTTACCTTTATTGACTCAATTAACAGAATGAGGTTCACAATTTTTCTCTATTTCACGGGTGGTGATTCGCAAACTATAGCTATCCATCACTCGGAGATTCAACTGAATTCATCTCTCACTACACTTCTTGAAAATTATTTCATTTGGAGAACAGCATTTTATGAGTGGCTTTTTCTAGTTGGGGTGAAAAAATATAAGGAGGTGTTCATGAGCTAATTATATAAAAATTAGTTGCTATAAAATTCGGTAGTTCATTGTTTTTCAAATACTGGATGTTGAACTTTTCTGAAAAAAATTTTTTTTGTGAATATACGTTAGCACTTTTCCAGTGAATATGATTTAACAAATAACAAACATCATGAACAATTAGTTCTTGCTTTTCATATATCGTCAGTGGGCATACTTGACGACTGGCTATAAATCAAATCATCTAAAGGAACAATTCTTTCAGGCCAGTCTCAACTTCCTACACTGTAGGTTAATGCTTTTCTTTCCTTATTTTGGATATGCGGTTGGTTACCTCGTTCACAGGCAGATGGGGCGATGACAAACCTGTTGTTTGCTGTCCGTTTCAGTCTAGTTCAAAGAATGATACTCCAAAGGAATTAGATTTTCAATAAATTAATGTAGTTTGTAGTATCCAGTAAATATCGTAAAAACATAGAAATATTCATTTCTCTTTTCATTTTTAATTAGATTTTCAATTATCGGAAATCATCGACTTTATTTATTTATTTATTCATTTACATCCAACAGGCCAAGACCCAATAAAAGGGTATACAATAATAGGGCAGATAACTAGTTCTAGATAAATGTAAGTATAAGTGAACATTTTGATATTCAGCTAGGAACTAATCTATACAAACTATTTCTAAATTGATTCAGGGTAGAAGAAAATAAATCTATAGAGTATTTATTGATAGTTCGGCACATATAGGTTAACGGGCTGTAGAAATGGTGCTGAGAATTGGGTACATTAATGCGGAATGTGATATTTGATCTGGACGTATATCGAGGTAGTACATTGAAATTAATTTGGGACAGTAGAGTTGGTGAGTCAATGGGACCATTGACCAGAATATAGATGAAAATGAGATCTGAAATTTCTCGTCTTTTTCTCAATGTCACAAAATTAAATTCAGTCAGAAGGCAAGTGTATTCATAATTCCTAACCGGATAGTTTTCATGTTCCTTATAATACGCAAACTTGAGGAATTTCTTCTAAACACCTTCCAAGGCATCAATGTATTTTGTTTGATTAGGATTCCAGACAGAACTATATTACTCTAGTTTACTTTTGTACCAAACTATAGTAAACTGAAAGAATACATTTAAATGATCTAAACTCTTTGCAGTTTCTTATAACAAATCCCAGCGACTTAGAAGCTCTTTGAACAATATTTTCAATGTGCGGATTAAATGTAAGTTTATTGTCAAACAAGATTCCTACGTCGAGAGCATCATTGACTCTTGGTAAGTCGATATTATCAGTTGTATAATTGAACTGGTATGGATTCAATAAACGAGCATAAGTCATAATTTTACACTTTCCAACATTTAGAAAGAGTTTAGAAAGTTTTTAATTCACTCCATTTTTGGAGTGAATTCAAATTCCTCTAAAGCAACATACAATCAGACGAATCCCGTATTTCTCTGAAAAGCTTTGAATCATCAGCAAATATAAGCTTTGTTGATTGTATAGAAGCGTATATGTCATCTATGAAAAGTATAAATAACAGCGGTCCCGAATTAGATCCTTGGGGAAATCCCCACTGTGCGAAAAATACATCACTACCTTACGATGGCGAGTGGCAAAACAGCTCGAAACCGGTCTGCAAGTGTGTTCCAATAATTAAAAATCTTTTTCGGCAGTTGTATCGCCAACAGCATATGCAGGAATAACTTTGGTGAAGAATCCTGCACTGACACCTGTTGGATATAATCCAACGCCCTTCGTAGGGGAGTAGTTGTTTTCTGATAGGTGTAAGTCCTTCAACTTACAGTATAGCGAGTTGAGACTGACCTGAACTGTGTCGCGAGCCACCACAGGACTCACTAATTGCTATAAAGCTATGGCTTAATGAATCTATTATCATGGAAAATAATATTGATATAAGCCAAGAATAGGATAGAAAAACTCAACATTTTGTATCTTAGAAATACTGGATTTCCTGGTCTTATCTTTATATGACCTTTTCTTCATGAAATTAGCTCTTGAACATGGCCTCTATTTTTCAAATAATTTAGCACTGTTGTCGCACAGGCAAAGCACAGCTCACAATTTCACTTCTCCTTCCCTTGTTAGCAGAATATTACTACCCTTTATATCCCTATGGATGACTTTATTCTCGTGCAGGTATGTAACAGCCTGCGAAAAAATAATTTTTAAATTATTATTGGACAACAATAATAATTATTATTCTCTTCTTCATCTGCATCTTCTCTACTGAATCTCACTATTGCCATTATCCGTTGCGCTCAGAAATATCCTCTCAGAAATACTGTGGCACCCCAGGAAACCGAAGGCACAAGGTCACCCATTTGTTTTATGTGGATGATCTTGAACTTTATGCCTCTGGAGAGAAGGATTTCCATCAGTCCTTGAGGGTGAGGGCATGCTATCGGTATGAAATTCGGGATAGCCAAATGTGCAATGGTCCATCTCAAAAGACTACGAAGCGGAAACTACGGAGATGATGTGCAGCTCGTAGATGGAAACATCTTACACCGTTTGGATGCTGGAGAGACGTATTCTCACCTAGTGGTGGAACGACGCCACTCACAAGAGGTAACAGCAATGAATACCTCTCTCCGCGGCAAGTATCAGCACGAATTTCGACAAACATCGGAATTGTCAGGGAACAACAAAGTTGCTGCAGCAAATATTCTTGCCGTTCCATTCTTACTCTACTCGTTTGGATTAGTGGACTCGGGAGAAGTTGTATCAACTCGACGTAAAGACCCGAAAAATGATGCATCTCTATAGGAGTTTGCATTCCAAATCGTTCGTTCCTCGGTTGTACTTTCCCCGACAATAGGAAGGCCGTGGACTTCTGACTTTCGAGGGTATACATGACAGAATGCTACTGGACTTAGCCTGTAAAGTCATTAGGAGTTCGGATTCTCTTCTCTGCATGGTCCGCAACCATAAGAGATCAATGATTGGGGCATTTCTCTTCAGGGCAGCTGCCCGAGCAGCTGATGAACTCGGTTTAGTTTTTGACACTAAACGAGGTGATCACAACACTGTCATCGAGTTGAAACGCGCTCAGCAAAAAGCTCATATAAAAGCCGCACAGATCACCTCACTTCTGCGGAAACACAAGGATAAGCCAATGCATGTGGTCTTCTTCAATAACATTGGAGACCTTGGCTCATCAATGCGCCTGACTTTTGCTTTTCTCAGGTCGAGTGGACTGAAGTCGGAAACTGAGGGGTTCATCATGGCTTGCCAGGATGGTGTCTTCAACACATTAGTCTACCGCCGTCGCGTAATAGGTATACAGGTTCCTGACACAAGGTGTAGGGCCTGCCGCGAGGCGCCCGAGACCCAGTTGCTATCAGCATATCCGGTTTTGGTCTATATCCATTGATTTAACGCGGCTCTCAGAGTGCTATATTACCATCTACGACACTCTTACGGTATTGACGAGACAACGGTGTTGCCCTACGCTCCGAGGGATATTGAATCCGTTGTGGGTAACGATAAGTATTGAATTTTTTGGAACTATTCTTGTACCATCCTTAGGCTTATACAAGCTAATAAGACCGATGTATTCTCCCTCAAACACCGGAGCAGTGGAGCAGTGGAGCAGTGGAGCAGTGGAGTTTTCAGCTCCTGGCGAGATAAATATCGTCCGAAAAGAGGAGGAAAAACGGATTAAATATCGAGATTTCCTCATCGAACTCCGCAGTCTCGATTCCGGACCATTCTATCAAGATGGTTGTTTTGATTATTGGAGTCCTTGATGGAATGATGACCTCTCTAATCTTGAAATCATACCGGCTCGCCGGTATGGTCCGTGACCATGAGAGAGCAGGAATTGGAGCATTTCTCCTTAGGGCAGCTGCTCGAGCAGCTGATGAACTCGGTATAGTTTTCGGAAAAACCACAACTAATCTAGCTAATACCACGCAGACATCTGAACCATCAGTCACCTGTGGAACGTCTTCCATTTGAAATATTCATCAGAAATAACTTCCTATATATTTCATTTTGTCGTGACGACCATCAATAGACTGGTTTCGGTGTACTAGCTCCTCGTCACGTCAGTCATTTCAGACGGAGTGAATCGTCTGAATATCCCGAACAAACTAAATTGATATCTACTAGTCATGAGCTTTATCTGCAGTTGATTCAGTAGGATGTACCACTGCGCCAGACAAATTCTAGAAACAACTCCATAGACACATACTCCGGGGTGGGAGGCAGAATAATGAATAAATGTATACCTTTTTCCGTTTGTGGTTCTGAATTTTCATCGTTCGTTTTATTATTTGTTATTATTTTGAAAATACTATCAGATTGGGAATTAGAAATCCAAATGTTATCGACTATTCAAATTCGGATTCGTGAGTTGTAACCATAATCTGTCCTCAATGGCCCTATTCTTTATTATATATTACTTGGTCAGACTCAGTCAGCCACTTCAATTTTATGATATGGTCTCGAGTAAGAAAGAAATGAAACAAAAACATTATGTCAGATTGAATGATATATTGTCATCACAAGAGATAATTTTATAATCCATCCTGGACAATTTCAGTGCAGTATCCGGTCACTTTAACAAGATTTCTCCCTGTTTCTCGTGTAATTATTATAATTAAACCAGGTTTAATCAGTTGAGCTATTAACTTTGAACGAAGAAGCGACAAGAAATGTCTTCGATACATTCGAATGAGACGGATTGAATTCAATTTCAACTATCCCATAACTAGGCAGTTATTAAACGAACAGAAGTAGAAAAACAGAAGATTCTCAACATAAAATGACTTTCATTATCTTTTTTACGAAGAGCTATGCATCGTATATCACCTCAGCTTAAGTGTGCAACATTTTCAGGCTTGAATATTATACATTTTCTCATAAATTGGCCATAATTACAGTCATAAAACAAGAAGCTTTTTGAGTTATTTATGGATGCGAACCTTCATTTGGACGAGAATATTTAGTGATTAGACTTATTAATGTCACTTTTCCAATGATATGGGAAACGATAACGATACACTTTTTGATACATGCGAATCTGTTCAACAAAATATAGTTTTCCGTTAACCAGCTGTTGTTCTTCTACCAATGATAACCCCCAGAAGTCGATACTTCATACACACAAGTCAATGGTGTTCGAAGGTGGAAAGAATAGTGCCCTATATTGTGTATCACCGATGGTCGATAAACGCAGCATAAGAATTCATTTCTGTAGAGACAATACTCATAATAATAATAATAATGATAATCTCAAATCTTAAAATCATACCGGCTTGCCGCACTTAGACAGAAATCTTAGCCGGACAGATGCAGAAGGTTGTCATTCTTGGCTCACTGCGCTGGCTCAGGGCACATGATACTCTTACCCAATGATCACTTATCCCACGGTGTGGGGAGTGGTAAAAGGTATACATAATTCTCAAATATAAAAAGGAGTAAATGTATATTTATGAGGTAAATTGAAATTCATCATAAGAAGTAATATAAAATAATTGTTAGGAAATTATTTAAAAAAGTCTGAATTATAAAATAGTGCTCACGATGAGGCTGATATTCACAGTAACAATGTATAACTGGATCTTGACATGAGTAATTCTGAAAAAATAATTTTATTTCCTACGAAATAGTTTTCCCTACGAAATTTAAGTATCAGTATTCCTTGATGAGTTAGAAACTCAAATCGATATTATAATAGTGACAGAAATGTATGCGGTGTATGATCTTCAACTAATCGAAATGACGGGATATCATGCTTTATATAATGAAAGTATGCTCAACAAGAATGATGGAGTGATCGCTTGTATACGAAAAGAACTAGAATTTTCATATAACATTAAGAATATTGGAGAGCAAAAGGCACTCGAACTAAAAACACGAATAGATAATCAACAAACAATAATAACGAGTATTTACAGATCCCCAAACACCTGCCCAAATAAATTCAATGCCGAGCTATTGAATTACTTGAATACTTCTGAGAAAAATGATATACACATTATAACGGGAGACTTGAATATTGATCTGTTAGCTGACAATAATTATGTAGAAGAATATAAAAACATATTGCATGTTCATGGTTTTCTCTCATATATTAACAAAGTCACTCGTCCGGAGAGCAAAACTTGCATTGACCACTTCTTTGTGAAAAGCATAAATGCTGAAATAGAGTCGTTTATATTTGAGGCAAATATAACAGATCATCACCCAATTGCTTTAACTATTCCGAAACTAAATCACAGCTCTGATTCTTGTTCTGAAAAAAGGCAATTCAAAAAATATATCAAGTACGATAGTCTGAGACTTCAATTGCAAAAAGAACACTGGACGGATATGTACAACGAAGAAGATCCAAACATCATAACAGAAAAATTCATCAACAAAATGAAGCAAATTATAGGAAAAAATACGCGATTAGTNTCTATTTTTACTTGTATTTTATTTCATTATTATTTCATTTCAGGTTCATTTTGGTTGATATAATTGTTATTTTCAGCTATTCATTTTCAATTCTTCCTTTTTAGTTGTTTCAGGGATTTCAAATCATTTTATATAGTAGACAATGGAAGTCCGAACTAGTGAAATACATTTGCCAGATTACATTTGCCATTGAGAGTTCACTGAATTTTAGACTGACTAAATATAATTCTGCTAGAATGGGTATTTTCAGTTTACAAGCATTGCGGCCCGAGGATTCTACATTTTTAGTATTGAAGTTACCAGATAGAAGTGTTTTTAACGAATTTTTCATCTTCTTGAATAAAATTAATTGCATATATTATTCCACTCTGAAGAAAAATATTTATTTGAATGTTTTTCAGACCACTCAATCACATATGTGACTACCTGTCCGAGATACTGTGACAACCATCCCTGGCTCGGGGTAAAAATTCCATAAGAATTGTTATATTTCCTTTATGGATGATGTTGGAGAAAACAAAAAATTTCTTTTTGAAAGAGTATAGAAACACTATGTATTGATATAAAAATGTCATTGATAATTTATGAAACTGGACATTAAAAATGCAAAAGACAGAAAATGTGACTTCCAACCCCAGTCTTTCAAGGGGTCTTTCAATGTCCGCGATATACTCCATTATTGCCAGGAAGCGAATAAGATATTGAAGAAATCTGTTAAAATATGTTTTTCCGTTAACCAGATCTCCCCCTCCAACGAAAGACGACACTTGTGCGAGCTCAGAACTAACGAGGTCTCACCATTTAACGTGTGATTTATAGCACTTTGAACATTTATTGCAAGAAACTGAAGTGGTTTTTTATAATAAAACTGCTGATTACGAAGGAACGGCTGATACTATTCCCAAATATGGTAAGTGCTGAATAGAAAATTGAAATACATTTCTAACGAGTTATTTATCACAAACCCCCTTTATATTTTTGAAAAAAAGTTGGTATCATCCACTCGGCGTCAAGTAATATGCACACTATTGTGCTTCTTATCAAAAAGCTGAAATGCGATACATTTTCACGTAGGGGAGACCGGGTATGGTTGTCTCATGGGTTGCTTGTCACGGCGGCCATATTAAAAAATTGAACGAACAAAATCGAAGGATCGCGAGAGCAATTCCTCCATTCTAACATCACTTCAGTTCATGCTCATATTGTGTGAGGGAGAACCGTACTCTTGTTTTTTTCGGACGGCGAAAGTAAATTTTTGTGCATTTGTGTAGAGTCTCATAAGTATACTATAGTTTTCCGTAGATATATATTATTTTATATATTTTTGATGATACAACGGATGAATATTGAATAAATATTGAATCAGAGTTATGTTATTTTAGGGGGTTATGTTTTGAAATGTGTTCAGGGGCTCGTTGTCTCAACTTGATGGGGGCTGGTAGTCACCAACACCATAAATATTTATGCTACATTTTTTGTTGACTTTTCAAGCTTCTGCTACATACAATTTTGTTTGTTTTAGAAAAAATTATAAAAATGTCATGGTATCATATGAAAAAGTTGGATCGACTAGTTTTTCATGTAATGATACTGCGTGCTGCGAGATAAGTGATTTTGGGATCAATTATTATCACAGTCTGACACTGTTTTGTGAAAAATACACTGTCGAAGAGATAAGTTTTTATTTTGATAACCAAAAATTGGTTACCTATATGGCTTCAAGTATTTATTCCGGTTCGTCTCCCAAGAATATTCTAAAAACCGAATTACATATATAATTGTTATTTTCAGCTATTCATTTTCAATTCTTCCTTTTTAGTTGTTTCAGGGATTTCAAATCATTTTATATAGTAGACAATGGAAGTCCGAACTAGTGAAATACATTTGCCAGATTACATTTGCCATTGAGAGTTCACTGAATTTTAGACTGACTAAATATAATTCTGCTAGAATGGGTATTTTCAGTTTACAAGCATTGCGGCCCGAGGATTCTACATTTTTAGTATTGAAGTTACCAGATAGAAGTGTTTTTAACGAATTTTTCATCTTCTTGAATAAAATTAATTGCATATATTATTCCACTCTGAAGAAAAATATTTATTTGAATGTTTTTCAGACCACTCAATCACATATGTGACTACCTGTCCGAGATACTGTGACAACCATCCCTGGCTCGGGGTAAAAATTCCATAAGAATTGTTATATTTCCTTTATGGATGATGTTGGAGAAAACAAAAAATTTCTTTTTGAAAGAGTATAGAAACACTATGTATTGATATAAAAATGTCATTGATAATTTATGAAACTGGACATTAAAAATGCAAAAGACAGAAAATGTGACTTCCAACCCCAGTCTTTCAAGGGGTCTTTCAATGTCCGCGATATATACAATCAAATTCGTGACCTAGCTATAGGTTGTAGTGAGAACATTTCGAAGTCAATTCCATAACAATAGATAATAATTTTCCATGTCATATGTTTCTATAATTATCAATCGTTACCATAAATAATCTTTCAATACTAATACAAGTCAATTCAGTCCACCCTTCCCTTGGAAAGCAGTCCATACATACAATACAAAATGAGTATTATAAATCCACTACTTACTCTGACAGTTTCTTTGATGACATATGCAATATGTTCTTCGGCCATCCTCCGGTTTTTTGCCAATAAACCATTCACCAGGTCGATAACTGGACCTCCTTCACAGGGCTTGAAATAAATAATAAAAATAAATCATAACCGTAAATCAATCATTCCTGTTTTGTTGGCTCACCACAAGACAAGAGCAATTAATATAAATTATTTAATTTGTAATAGTGACACACAATAACTTATTGTAAATTCATTATTCTCAACGTAACCTGCAATTATGAGAAAAGGTTTCGAGATTGAACCTCAACGGAATGATTATAGTTCGAATGGTTCTTGGGTAATTTATCAAAGGGTCAGTATTTGAGTTTATTGTTAGTGATTTTAATTTTGTTTGAAATTGATTGACAATATTTCATGATGAATGTCATTAGTTCGGACTTCCATTGTCTGATATTATATAAAATGATTTGAAATCCCTGAAAAACTAAAAAGAAGAATTAAAAAAAAGCTGAATTAAAAACCAATTATATTGAGCAAAAAAACCTGAAATGAAATAACAGTGAAATAAAATACAAGTAAAAACAGAGTGATCGAATTGTTGAAGCAGATTGAATATTTTGTAATGAGATGTATCATTTCAATTGTTGAAAAAATACAGATTATATTCAAAGAATTCATTCTTAACTTTGTCGTGGATATTGAAGGTCATTTAGTGTGGTTGATCAGCTTTTAGCACAAAGCTCCTGAAGAATCTCTAAATGCGGTATGACTAGCTAGGATTTTTGTTGTGACTTTTCCATTTTTCAACAGATTTTACCCTATCTCCTTCAATATACTCCTTCCACTGTTCTTACTTTCATCTATTTGAGCTCTTCACGATTCAAAACAGTATGAGCTGTTCATAGTCTTCATAAAAGCTTCTACTGCATAAAACCTGGTGCTTTCAATATTTTCTCCAATTTCGGGAACATAAAAAAGTCAAACGGAGCTAGATATGGTGAGTATGATGAATTTTCCAATGTAGAGGTTCTGAACTCAGCCAAAAATGACTTGATAACGAATCGTTGCTTTGTGAGGGGTCCAAAACTTATTCCTCCATATCTTTGGTTGCTTTTCTTAACTCGCTGATGGAACCTACACCGGTAAATGTTGGGGTAAGTTATCTGCTACCTGGGCTCGACTTTTCTTGTGAAGAATACTCCCCTCTGAGGTTAATAGACCTTGGTACATTTCACTGAATCTGGCGAGGACCTGATCGGCGGTGGCATGGAAAGCAAGTCTCAGGTGACGCATTTCAAAGAAAATCCATAACTGCAGGGTACTAATTGCTCTCACTAGCTAAGAAACATTTTCCTAGTCCTCTCAGGTAACCTCTAGTCACCGAATTATACAGCTCTGTTTTCGTAACTGTGCACTATCTTCGGAAATATCCCCTACCTCAACCATGTAGATATACTTACGGGATTGAAATATTACCTACGTGTAAGTCGTGAAATACAAACTAATGAATACAATTTTGTCATGCAATATGGGTTTCTCAATTTCGATATGCCTGTATAGAAGAGCGCACTCGACTTTATCATTGAAAACTTGCTCCACAAAGTTGACATGTTCCATATTTTTGATTTCTTTTCTAGATAGGCTAAGAAGACGGTTTCGCTGAAATTTCCTTCGACGTTTTTGAGTCTACACCAGCTAAGAAAATTAGAATATGCGATATCGTTCTGCTGAGCCGATTTTCAATTGAAGCTCATTTTCCAGCTTCTTTAGTATCGTCAGGAACACACAATATCTTACTATTGTTCTTCATTACGTTCGTTCCGCAAACTTTTTCACTCACAAAATGAAACCTTACTTTTAACGCTCATATCATATACAGTTATTTCCTTCTGAAATTGGTGAATTTACAGAACGTTCCCTGTGCAGTGTTCAGGGTCCTACTGTTTTTCTTTGGTTAATCATGTGATCACTAATGAATTGACTGTACATTTCGATTTTTCTATGATTCTTCCCTTGTACTTTTTTCTTTGGAAAGATATATTTCTGAACAATACGAAAACGAAGACTTATCTTTTTTAGTGATATGAATCACAGTATCTCAATAAATACAAACTAGTCAAGAGAACAGAAAAAAGTGCTGAATCTTACTCATACATTGATGCAAAATTGAAACATTTGACTGCATTGAATCGAATTTTTCACTCATCATACTCACCTCTAAGACCATCCAAATCTCTATTCCTATTCGATAAATTCCATAGAAGTCGACAATGTTCAAGTGGTGACTGAAATCTCTCAATATTTTATACTCTTCTTCGACAAACTGTTTGGAACTTTCCTCATACTTTTGAAGTTTGATCGCCACGTTTTTCTTGCTCGCCTGTGTGTCAGTCGCTGAATATACTTTTCCATAAACTCCATATCCGTATATTTCGCCGAACTCGTACCGTTTTCCGGGTTCCGGTATTTCAGAGAAATTAATTTTCATTCTTTTATATTTGAATTTCAACAATTTTCACAATGAGCAGGCAAATACTAGAGAATCTGTAAATAAAATGAAAATATTGTATTTTAAGTACTTATATCAAAAATACACTTCAGATGAATTAAACATTCATCACATACAATAAATTTGACGATATGGGGTATCAGAAGTATCATGGTTACCATTTTTTCCAACGAAAACTTGACCACCCTTGATAGTCAGAAACAGACGTGTTATCGGAAATCTCAAAGAAAGCATCAATATCTATTTCTAGGGGAACTAATACTGATATGGAAATCATACCCCCCTACGGTCAGCAACTACCCCCCCTTTTGTTTCAATGGGATGGGGGTCGAGTGATACATCATTTGGAAGGTCTTTTGTCCTCTATTAATTCTGTGATTTTTTTCGAAATTGGTTCATTCGTTGAACGTTTTATTTAAGAAAAAACAGAAAATTCCTGTCGCTCATTTTATTGAGGAAATCAACAAATTTATTATCAATGGCAACAGAATCAACGGATGAAGTGTTCAAAATGACCTCCATCTAGTTCCATACAATTATACAGTCTACTTTCTAAAGCGTTCCTTACATTATTGAAGATGTCCGGAGTCGGAAATCGGCATTCCCGAACAATTCTCTGTCGCAGACTTCTAGATTTGTGGGATTCGTAGAGTACAATTTTGATTTCAGGTGTCCTCACAGAAAAAATTGCTTAGGTGTGAGATCAGGTGATCTAGCTGGACACTCCACTGGACCCCTTTTGCCGATCCAACGCAGTGGAGAAGGTTCGTTCAAAAACTGTCTCACCCGTAAATCAATATGTGGCGGTGCACCATTTTACTGGGATAATTATTTCATTTTCTACTCAATTGTCAACATTTTCTAAAATTTGTGTAACCATAGGATCTACACAGTCATGTAATAGATTTGTATATGTGTCTCTATTGAGATAACTTCGTTCCAGAAACGACAATTGTGTCTATTCACTTCATCATTCAACATGAAAGAACTTTCGTCTGAAAAACATGTATTGTATAATAGGTTTAGGCCATTGGTCAAATTTTCGCTGAACACCTCCTCACAAAACTGAAGTCGATGATCAGGATCATCTTCGTTTAATTCCTGAACTTGCCTTGTTTTGGAAGGATGAAATTTGTAGGCTTTCAAAAGCCGAAAAACACAAGTAGCTGATATATCAGACGCTTTAGCTACTTGTCTGATGGATGGTCGATTATTCATTTGTACGTGACCTAAAACTGCAATTTCAACTCCGTCATTTCTGACAGGACGGGATAATTCACGTTTTCTGTTGTGAACAGAACCTGAAGTTTGAAACTTATCCATTAACTGTTCAACGTATTGATGGCTCACGTTGTGGTCTGGAGGATTCGTATTAAAAATTCTTGCAGCAGCTTTAGTACATTCATTACTTCGAGAAAAGGTTGCAACAATTTCTATTCTTCCTCCAGTAGAATAAACCATGTTGGAACACAGTGAACAGAGATGACTGAATAATAATTCTTGAAGAAGAGACAGTGGCCAACTATCTACTTTTTGTTCTGCGACAACTAGATTCAACAAAAACTACCAGTGCAGAAAAAACCAACATTGTTGCCCATTCCAAAACGTTTACTATTAATTAAATGAATTTTTCAAATCTAGAAGACCTGCGACAGAGAACTGTTTAGAAAAGCCGATTTCTGACTCCGGACATCTTCAAAAATGTAAGAAACGCCTTCTAGAGTAGAGTGTATCATTGTATGCAACTAGATAGGGGTCATTTTGAACACTTCTTCCGTTGATTGTGTTTCCATTGATATTACTATTGTTGATTGCAATAAAATGAGCGACAGCAAATTTTATGTTTTTTCTTAAATAAAACGTTCAATATTTGATTTCTCAATAACGAATGAGCCAATTCCGAAAAAAATTACAGAAGTGCCCCATTGTAACGAATCTCAAGCCGGCCCTGACCGATATCTCAGCCAGCAAACACGCATCACATGATGAGTTCCGAAACCCCTAGAGAGATCTGGAGCGATCGTTGCCGATATTCTGTCTGTATTCAGAAAGCGAATCGTGCGTTTAAATAAAGAATTCGAACAGTGCAGATAAATTAAGCGTTAGTTGCTATTTGTGGAATATAAATTAGTTGTGATAGTGAAATATGGTTAAAAATAAATTTGTTCAAGACAGTTAATTCTTTAATTCGTTACAATTGGTGTTCAGAAGTGGATTTTTAAAATCAATTTGTGAACACTTGGTGGACAATCTTTGTATTACGGTGAAATTGGCTAAAAAACTTTCGCGCAGAGAGACTGGTGATTCATTGTGTTTCGCAAAGTGGACAGTACCGGACTACGGAAACATAAACTGATAGACCTTTCTCGCGAAAAATAGACTTGTGGAAATAAATAAGTGTTTCGGACTCGATTAAAATAAGTGGACGTATTCAGTTTTGTGGAAAATAGACAATAAGAGACAAAATGTGTTCAAGGAAAGTGCGCCTAGTGGACTTGAAAGTCGCCGAATTGAAGCAAGAATTGGAGGAGAGAGAACTAGATTCTTCCGGAAAGAAATCAGTACTCCAGAAGAGACTATGGGATAACTTGATTGAATCAGGAGAAGATCCCGAAACATATTTATTCGAAGTTTCTCGGGGTGATTTGAGTTCAATAATGAGCAAACTCGATGGACTTCAACAAAATTCGGTGAGTCTGGAGAAGAAATTTCTAGAGAATTCGAATAGCTTGAAGAAAGAACTTCTAGAAAATGCAGAAGGCCTTAAAAAAGAGCTTTGTAGTGTGGCGAGCCTACTCGTAGGCTCGCCATCGAGACAGAGATAGATAATATCAAGAAGGAAATGAACACAGAAGTAGAGGAAATCAAAGGCGGAGTTCAGGCAGAAATCAGCGAGATAAAGGAAACAATTAGCAAGTTGTGAAACCAAATCACTAATTCTGCCCACCCCACAGAAACGGTTACCGATAACTCAATTCCGGAACTGAAAGATGTCATAGTGAGTTCTGAACCAGGAAAGCTCTCCATGAAGCCGCCCCAGTTCGACGGAAAAACTTCCTGGGAAAATTACTTGTGGAAATAAATAAGTGTTTCGGACTCGAGTAAAATAAGTGGACGTATTCGGTTTTGTGGAAAATAGACAAAATGTGTTCCAGGAAAGTGTGCCTAGTGGACTTGAAAGCCGCCGAATTGAAGCAAGAATTGGAGGAGAGAGAGCTAGATTCTTCCGGAAAGAAATCAGTACTCCAGAAGAGACTATGGGATAACTTGATTGAATCAGGAGAAGATCCCGAAACATATTTATTCGAAATTTCTCGGGATGATTTGAGTTCAATAATGAGCAAACTCGATTCGGTAAGCCTTGAAGAGAAGCTTCTGGAAAATGCGAAAAGCTTAAAAGGTAAATTTCTAGAAAATTCGAAGAGTTTGGAAGACAAGCTTCGCGAAAATTCGGTGAGTTTGAAAGATGAACATCAACAAAATTCGAAGTGCCTGGAGGAGAAGCTTCTGGAAAACTCGAAGATTTTGGAAAACAAGTTGCGAAACCAAATCACTAATTCTGCCCACCCCACAGAAACGGTTACCGAAAACTCAATTCCGGAACTGAAAGATATCATAGTCAGTTCTGAACCAGGAAAGCTCTCCATGAAGCCGCCCCGGTTCGACGGAAAAACTTCCTGGGAAAATTACCGCCGACAATTCGTAGCTGCAGCCAGAGCAAACGGGTGGAATGCGGAGCATTAACACTGGCGTTGCGTGGAGAAGCAACGAATATTTCGCAAACCCCCACGGCCCAAGAACAGGAAGACTATGACCAACTCATAAAGCACCTTGAGCTACGGTATGAACAGGCACACTTAGAACACGTTTATCATTCACAGCTGAAGAACCGCTGCCAGAAATCATAATAACGTTACCGAAATACGTTTCTTTTGCGGCAATGAAACACAATTTCCTGCTTTGTGAAGGGTCTTCCAACAGGGACTTTCGAACTTTGATAATTGATAACGGCCATCTTGTTGCCATATCGAAAACAAAAAGTGATACAAAAAGATAGGAAATAAAAGAAACTTAAAAAACTGTTTATATTAATTTTGTAATTTATTTTGAATGTTTATGAACAGATATTGCACGATAGACGATAATAATTATAAAAATCACAGTAACATCCTAAACGACTCTCATCTATGACAACTCAATCATAACTGAGCTAAATGGAACTACCACAAGTTCGTGATCCTTGCAGCAGACAAGATTTTGCAGGATTTTTCCTGTAAAAAACGTGCCGCTAGACGCTAGATGCTGAATCCCGACCGTAAACTGGGTTGGATGAATCATCACATTCATTGTTCGTATTTTTAATATATGAGGCACTCTAATAACTCATTTTCCGAGGCGGCAAAGTGCTATAATTGTATTTCACCGTTTTCGAAGATGGCCGACAAAATGCGACAAGATACGCCTGCATAAAATGGGGCTGTTTCTCATTAATCGAATATTTAAAAAGTATCCGAAGATCGAAAAAAATATACGGTATTCGGATACTTACAAATTTGGCCATGGATACGGATACTGAATACAAAATTTGAAAAATATCCGAATACAGCTTTCGAATACATATAAAGTATCCGGATACTGTATCCGAATACAGAAATATTCGGATACTACCCAACTCTGCGCCACCCCAATGGTTTCTTCATTCAAAATCACTAGTCGAAGCCTATATTCAACAAATTTATAATACCTTATTTTCAAGAATCCATTAATCGATTAGAAATTAAAATTGTCAATATGTGCCAACGTGGAATAAATATCATCAATATATTTTGTCGTCATATTTATGTTCATCAATATATACGTGACTAGCATACCGTTAAGGCTATAAGAACTTTGCTAACAAACTAATCTAAGATAAATTGAGTAGGTAATTAACCTGTAATGATATCACGTATACATACGGAGAGCACTATGAAACAAGAAAATACAGCCTAATTCATTCGCAGCAGCTAATTTACTTCTGGAATTAAATTATTTTGCTTTATTTCCATTACACCATAGCTCACTTGGACGATAAAAACGAATATAACAAATGTTTCTTCTCTACGAAATACTAATGCAATTACGGTAGAAACCATTAAAGTTTAATGGGATTTGGAATGAAAGTGATCCCAATTTGAAATAGATGCGAAAGAGCTCTAGAGCTCGATATTGTTTGAAGGCATGTATACATGGTGTTATTACTTGAAGTGACATCGAACGAAGTAGTTGTTTTCCGCCAGCCTTTTTGAATAATGGAGAAAGTGGTAATAATCAGAAAAAAACGTATCCGATGGATGTTCATGAATATATTCTGAAAGAAGGTAACGTTAGTTGCAAAGGTAACAAATGAATACTTTTTTGAGCTCCTGCTAGCAGAAAATCCAACTTGACGTTACCAGGTGAGGAATCATAGTACTATTCGATTAAATTTACCTAGAAACAATGGAAACCAGAATTATTAAAAAAGTTCCTTGTACAATTCATATATTCAGCATTCATAACAACTCATTCAACTTCTCGAAGTGCAAATACGAGGACGATCTTGATCCAAGTGATAAAAACTCAATTACATGTGGGGAAGATTTTGATGAATTCTTCGAGTTTCTCAAAACTTCGCTTTGCCAATAAGGTTTCAGTTAGTACTTTCACTGACTTGTCTCTGTCAATCTTTGAAATTCAATCTGAGCAAACCTGTTAGAACTAGTAACCTTTCGCATTTACAGTCGATTCAAAAATCCTTTGTCCAATTTTTTCATCGGGCCAGATTGCTCCATTCCATTTCTTTTCAATGCATTAGAACTCCTACAAAGTTATTTACCTATACTTTACTTCGAATATAACATTTATTATAATAGAAGAATTATTGCCCCTCTATGTTTGAACCCCGTGTTCGAACGAGTAATTTTGTTTATTCCAATTTCTGGTGAATATTATTATCATTGCTTTACCTCAGATGAACTAAAACACTTGTGTTAATCCGATGTTTTTTGAACTAACCATGGATATAGAGTGGTGATATAGAAGTCTGCTCTCAATTAGCAGTTTCAAATATTGATTTTTTTATTATCCAAGGAAACTTGTCCGGAAGCAAAAAAGGGTAGATTTTGAAAAGTTCGACAGTGCCGTAAATTGATTGCAACTATAGAATCAACTGTATCAAACGGAATGTATCCTGTGATTCTGCGAATAGGAGGCGAATTCTCCACCAGTGTAATCCTTAGAAAAAGACTGGTTATGTGATATATTGAGTGATCCAACGAAAAGTATGCACCTTGCTTTTTTCCTTTTTTTGTGACTTTACGCAAAAATGCTCGGAAAGGTCAATTTTGCTTTTGAGGGAGACACATTTTAGAAGTATTTTTCTACCTGTGCCTTCAACCCCCTAGCGAGTGTGAGTAACAACCCTGAAATTTCAAATGGAAAGTGGGGTCGAGTGATATATCATTTGAAAAGACACAGAATTCTCTTTCCAATGATACCTAATTTGTTGTATTTANCTGTATACTCAGTGGGTAGAATTAGAGTTTCTGACGTGAAATTGATCTTATGACCAGCAAAAAGAATGAGTCAACTGGAAACATAAAGATTACTGAGAAAATACATATATATATACCTGCAGAAAATACAATCAAAGGACTGAGAGAACTCTTATTTTATAGGAATATGAGCAACTGAATCATAACAGGTGAGCAATTTATTGTTGTATGTATTTGAACACATTCATATGAAAATACTCAATTTTGCTGAGTTTCTACTGTTTCTTCTCTGTTGCAATTGAAACCATTGGTGATTTAGAATCTTATGCTTTTGAATTGTTGGAAAACTTTCGTTAAAAATGTATAAAGACAAAGAAGTGAAAGCCAACCTTAGCCACGAAACCCATTTGTCTCTCTGACAAAACTCAGCTACTAGAGTAAGGGAGCTGGGTTCCAAGCTGATGAAACCGAAGATGACACGAACAAAGTGAGGTTACTACTAATTGGAAAGGTTAGTGTTTTGATAGAAAAAATACCTTAAAAAAAATAGAAACTAACAAAAAATAATTTACGAAATCGTGTTCAATTTCTGAAGAAATGAACTCCAAACGTTCAAGCCGGTCTCGGATATACCTACACAGTAGGTTGAATGGACTGACGCCTATCAGAAAACAACTACTCCCCTGGCTAATATCACGAAGGGCGTTGGATTATATACGACAGGCGTCAGTGCATCAGGAATCCTCACAGAAAATTTCATGCATATGCAATTGCCAATACAACTGAAAGAGTCGACCTTCAATTTTGGAACGGGCACACTTGCAGACCGGTTTCGGGCTTATTAGCCACTCATCCGTGCAAGATAGTGGCCATCATCGACCTAAAGTCAATGATATTCCATAATTGAAAATCCCCTCCTCATGCCCCCTCCCGGATTGAGTGCCCTGAAGTAGAAGCTTTCCCCCCCCCCAGCTAATTAGCGAGGAGAACCTATTACCCCACTCCATCCACCCTCGCTTTCCAAGCGATCCTCAACTTACTGATGGGCACTTCAGCAAGATTGACATCTTACCTCTTTTGGTCGAAAGTCAGCCTTTAGGAGCTATTCTTTCGCAATCGGTAAAAATGTTTTGTCATGACTATTCCTAACCGAATTTTTGCATGGGAGCCCCTAAAAACTAACTGGCGGCTATTGTTATTAGCGTCGAGCGGTCCTCAGTGAATCTAAGGATAATTGTATCGCGGTCGAGTTGTTCTGCGGTGAACTTGCTGAAAGAAAATCTGATTAATATGCTTACCAGAGTCGCCTGACGGCGACTCGTGGGGTTGGTCGTAGGTTCTGTTTCGTCGGCCTTTCTCGGAACCTGGGGTCATCTATGTTCAACGCATCGTGTAGATCGTGTAGCGCTGGGTTGTTGTGCCATCTGATGCTATCGAACACGCTTTCTGCGTGTTCTCTCATATACACGTCCACATATTGCGTGTCCAGGTCTAAGTCTCTGTATATAAATCTATTGGGGATGTAGTACGGTGCGTTCTCGGCGGCCCTTACAATCGCGTTCATGAACGACTGTGTCCTCTTCTTCTATCGAACACGCTTTCTGCGTGTTCTCTCATATACACGTCCACATATTGCGTGTCCAGGTCTAAGTCTCTGTATATAAATCTATTGGGGATGTAGTACGGTGCGTTCTCGGCGGCCCTTACAATCGCGTTCATGAACGACTGTGTCCTCTTCCTGTATGTCTGTGCGCACTGGCCCCAGGCAGTGCATGCGTACAGTATTATGGGTATGAGAACGGTTTGGATCATCAGCAACTTCACTTTCAACCCCATATTGCTTCTCCGTCCTATGATTGGTGCCAGTCCTTGTCTGGCGTGTCTGGCCATTCCGATTCTTTGTCGTACATGAGACTGAAATGTTAATCTCCTGTCTAAGGTGATTCTCAGGTTTGTTGTTGGTCCACGGAATCTCTTGTCTGTTGAAAGTGACGTTGCCTTCCGGTTGTAAAAACCTGCGGGTGAACAGTATCGCCTGACTCTTGTCAGGGTTTATACTGATCTTCCACAGGTTGGCCCACTCCTCTAATTTGTTTGCCTGTTGTTGCAAGTACCTTGTGACATGTACTTGGCTCGTGGATCTCGCCAGCAGGGCCGTGTCGTCCGCGCAGAGTGCCAACTTGCTAAAGTTGTTCTCTGGCTTGGGCACATCCGCTGTGTATACGGAGAAGAGGTGTGGCAAAAGGACTGCTCCTTGCGGGACAGTAGTCGAACTGTTGATAATTCCTCTCCTACTCTGCAACGGCATCGCCTGTCAGCTAGAAAATACTGAATTAATCTTACCATAGGTTTTGAATATCAGAAATCATTTTGGCCAGTAGTCCGTCATGCCAAACTCTGTCGAACGCCTTGGAGACGTCTAAGAAGATAACTCCGGTGTTGTGTCCTTTTCTGCCGAGGTTGAAGCCCTTGGTCGCGAAGTCTACTACCCTCAGGACTTTTAGCTCTGTCGAGTGTTCCGATCTAAAACCGAATTGTTCATCCGGGAGGATTCCTAGCTCTCTAGTTAGATCTTCGAGTCTCTTCAAGATAACATGCTACGCCACTTTGCTTATGGAAGGAAGTAAGCTAATTGGCCTGTGATTGTCTGTGAACAGGTGGTTCTTCTTCGGCTTCGGGATGTGTATAACCGTTGCCGCAGCATCTCTGAGCATGTCCAAATAATTGGCATTTGTGACATTGCGATATCAGCCCCCTGTTTATTCTTTGGGGTTCTGCCCTCACGCACGTTCTTAGTGCGTAGATCCGTTCTTCGCTTTTCGATACTTTTACCAGGAAAAGCGATAGCGTCGCCCTGGTGCGCCTGGATGTCATCCTGTAACATTCGAGCACAGTATATCCCTGTGCTTTTAGGTTGCTTGTGACGTCCTCCGCTGCCACGTTCTCGGGGATCCCGCGAATCATTGCGTGTAGCGGGATCTCTTTTTTTTATGGAATATGCATGGAAGTCTACCTTCCTTTCTTCCATGTATCGAGTGGCTTCACGCCACTCCTCCTCGTTGTTCGCGTGGATGTAAATTCTATCTCTGGTCAACCTCGCTTTGTTATATCCGATTTTTCTAACTTCAAGACCTTTAGAGATCTAGTTTTACCTTTTACTATCGTGAACGACTATCGGTGGCGGCTTTGTCGGATCTTTTTCCGGGTTTGTCGCATAGGTTAGTGCGACTTCTTTCTCTTTTGGGGATGATGCCACTTCTTCAGTGTTTTGCCCTTCTGAGTTGTTTATCTGTGTTGTGTTTTCCGTTTCCATGTTGAATATCGGAATATTTCAGATTATTTCATTCCTCTTCCTAAGTTGGAGCGAACAACAAAATGTTCTCCATCTCCATCTCCATCTAGTGGACGAGGTACCAACTGCATATCCGAAATTTGCCCGATTCCTCTGAATGAGGAAGAAAAACTTTCTTATTAGTCAGTGGGCCATGTTTGAAGACTGGCAGTAAACATTTCTGAAGAAATGAACTTTGAACGTTCAAGCCAGTCTCGATTATACATACACAGCAGATTGAATGGACTGACGCCTATCAGAAAACAAATACTCCTCTGGCTAATACCACTGATAGGCGTCAGTCCATTCAACCTACTGTGTAGGTATATTCGAGACTGGCTTGAACGTAAGTTCATTTCGTTAGTTCCTCGTTGTTCGCGTGGATGTAAATTCTATCTCTGGTCAACCTCGCTTTGTTATATCCGATTTTTCTAACTTCAAGACCTTTAGAGATCTAGTTCCACCTTTTACTATCGTGAACGACTATCGGTGGCGGCTTTGTCGGATCTTTTTCTGGGTTTGTCGCATGGGTTGGTGCGACTTCTTTCTCTTTTGGGGATGATGCCACTTCTTCAGTGTTTTGCCCCTCTGAGTTGTTTATCTGTGTTGTGTTTTCCATGTTGAAAATCGGAATTCTTTCAGATTATTTCATTCGTCTTCCTAAGTTGGAGCGAACAACAAAATGTCACTCCATCTAGTGGATGAGATACTAACCAACTGCATATCCGAAATTTGTCCGATTCCTCTGAATAAGGAAGAAAAACTTTCTTATTAGTCAGTGAGCTATGTTTGAAGACTGGTAGTAAACAAATCTGAAGAATTGAACTTTGAACGTTCAAGCCAGTCTCGAATATACATACACAGTAGATTGAATGGACTGACGAATATCAGAAAACAACTACTCTCCTGGCTAATACCACTGATAGGCGTCAGTCCATTCAACCTACTGTGTAGGTATATTCGCGATTGGCTTTAACGTAAGTTCATTTCTTTAGACAAATAAATTTTGTCATTTGTAAACGTTGTGTCCGTCTGACTAATAATTCACCAGTCACGACAAAACATATTTGGAATATTGATAGTTATATTCAGGAAGGGTGATAGTCGTCTTCATTCACAAATGGCAATTAATTTCTTTCAACTAAACATTCACTCATAGAAATTTCAGGGCCTAGTACCAAGTCTAATATTCTCCATTGAGTATTTCTAATATTACTTTACTGTAAAAAACAATTGAAATCTAGAAAATATTGTGTTTTTTGCGAATTGCCATGATGTATATCAAAATTACCATTCCCTTGGGAAATGACAGAAAAGTATGGATATTACTAAAGATATACATCACTCTCATTCATGCGATACGCTCATAACGATAACGGTCATAAAAATTAAATATCTCACTCAAACTGAGACAGGAGACAGTAATCTTTTTTGTGCGGTGATTCATCTCCTCCACGTGACTTTTGTACAACACATAAGAAATACTTTTATTGACCATGTTTCGTTGTTTACTGGGACGTTATACATGTGATAGCTTTTAAAATTCTCTAAAGTTGTAATACCGCTCGTCTTTTGTCGGCTCTTATAGATGATAATTCTGCTATTTGTCGTCCGAGCGTTTACTAACAACTTTCCTTGGCTCATCACTAATAAATCTTCTTGGTTTCGTTTCTAGGAAGGAAAATGTTAGATTTGTTAATATTTGTTTTTCCTGAATTGATTGGTTTTATGTGTTACGGACGGTTTCTGTTTGATATGTACTTGAAAAGCACTCAGAACTAAACCATACTAAATATCAGTCAAAAGTTTATGTCCACATTTTGTACATTTTTGTGTACTAGGGAGTGATAATTCAGAGAAAATGTTCTTCGAATGACTAAATGAGTAAAGGGTAAACTAATGCCCTTTATTACCCTGATCACTAACTGCATAAAATTAACCACTGAAGAGCCAATGTTATCATAAATTTAGTGTAGAAATTGAATAATCTCTTGACAAAAAATATATACCTAGATTTCTTTAGATGATAACACCTCAAACGAAACCAGGTATGCTTTCTTTGCTGAATGCTGAAAACATGAAATGCCAAGATATCATATTCGATAGTTTACATGAAGACACATACTGGATGTTATCCAAAAATTTGGTTTAGATTCATACGTCCGATCCATTTCCACAGAGTTGATTGAAAAACACTTGTTACCTTCTATGCAGATTTTTTGAGATATCTCATTTTATCGTGTAGTTCTTTGACCATTTCCAACGCCATCCTTGAATCTGTTATCTGTCTTCTGTTCACGTTCTTTTCTCCTGCATGTAGGGGACTTGAAGTTTGACCTATATAACTTTTTTATGATGTAAATACACTTTTTCATTTTTCAACTGCAATATCGTGTGAGAAGAGATCTCGAACTATTGGTTGTTCTTAGCTGTTTTTACATCATATCAGTAATCAATGTCTTACAATTTTTCGGACAAACCGGAAAGGGAAGATGTTCGTGGTCAGGTGGGTGTGTTGTTCTTAGGTTTGTGATAATTCATATGTATATGTGGGTTAAGATTTACACCAATTTTATTAAGAACTCTTTTCGTGAATTATTCAAAATTCTTTCTCAGAGCAGGTCCTCTTTTTGAATTTAAAAATTAGAACAAAAAATTCATACAGGTTGATTTTCCAATATAATGTTGATTGAACATAAAAAAATTGTTTGTGTGTGCCTTTATTTCTTCTATTCTATCGACTGACGATATAAAGTACACTATTCCATAATAAACTTTTTGTACAACTGTGACTTTTTTAATGGTTGTCAAGAGTATTGAAAGATGATGTTTACAAAGTAGCGTGTTAAAAATATTTTTAACACTAGTGTTAAAAGTATTTTTAACACGATTTTTTTCGACCAAATATCAGCAAATGAAACATAATCAATCAACTTTCAAGGTAGTTTTATTATGAAAAATTGTTATAGATACAATTAAATTCTGTTACAAATGTATTATATACATTGTTAGGAATCACACGTTAAAAGGTAAGACCTCGTTAATCCTTGGCTCGCACAAGTTTCGACTTCTGAGGGTTGTCGTTCGTAGGGGTGTGACAGCTGGTTAACGGAAAAACAGATTTTAAACAGATTTTAAACAGATTATTTATATTATTTTTATCATTTATAAGCATTAATATGGAAAGTACAATTAGAACAACTGCTGATGTTATTACTTTGCGATGTTCAAAAGCCTTGTGTTATACTCAACTATCTGAGTTGAAAATTTCATGGGCATAAACATTTCATTCTTGAAGTGGAGAGGACGATGCTGTAACGCTGAGCTGTTGGGATTATTCTTTCAGCAATAAGAAACAGATTGATCGATGTAACCCTTAGCTACTGTTGTAGACTTCCATCCTCCGTGCTTTTTGATATCCGTTAAATTTGCTTCTGATTCAGCTAGTAAAGAAACAGGACTGTTGTACAAAAAAAATTGTATGGTATTTGTGTTGAAAGTAAGTTTTATTTTGTTCGTGAAATTGCTCAACGTTCAACACCTACATTATAAATAGCTATTTTGATCTGTTTGTAAGTATTTGGCAGATGGATGACAGATTATATATACAATGAAGAAAAACATTTGTCTAATTCATACTGAGTTTATTATTTGTAACGACTTGAAAATGGTCCAATAAACCGAAACCGGTCGTATCAAATAATAAACCTAGTAGAAATTAGACAGAGGTTATTTTCTTTATTCTATATTCAATATTGATTTCTGAAATATAAATAGGTCATCAATCGAATATGATAGATTACAGATTGAAATTACACTCAGTATAGAAATAATATCGAAACCGAGGTATATGAATGCATCGTCAGAAAGAGCTTCCTTTAAAAGTTTTTTTTTTGATAATATGGTAATATTCGGGAAGATTGTTTTTGGGCCAATGATATATGTCAGAACTATGGTGTTGAAGTTCGAAAAAATACTTTTCATGATAATTTTGCTAGGACTCTAGATACATTTCGGAACATACTATGCATCAACTATGCATCTACTAAGTATTTTACCAGTAGCGTTTTTTCCAAATTTACACTGAATCATTTCGAAAGGGAAAGTAAACCAAATTCATTATCGTTTCATTTTGTTTCATTCATTGATTCAAGAATTAATGAATCTTGAATAATTGTATTGATACTGTTTCGTTTTTAGGCTCCAGATATGAGAGAAATTATTTCCGTGAGTTATCAATAACGGGTTTGAGGAATTTAAATATCCATTCTCTTTTTGAGGTAATCAGTTTTTTTTGACAATCCCTGTTCGTTATAAAAAGACCAATTTATTGTCATAAAAATGTCAAACCTGCAACATCATCGTAGGCTTTCAATAATACACGTAACATAAAAATTGTTTATTTATTTCAATCACACTGTAATATAAATAAGAATAAATATTTCATATTATACATATCTAACACTGATAAGGTAAATTACATATGCATATAGTACAAATCACTGGGTTTTCACACTCATTCATATGAATGAGTTGCTGAGAAACGGAAACCAATATTTGATAGATTAATAACTGAGATTGAAAAAGTGAAACATGTATTTACTCAAAATTGAATATCTGATATTGAATACTGAATCTAACATCAAACATATAAAATGGTGATATGTGTATTTCTTGCCAGTATACATTTTGGAAGATTGCATCAAACTGGTTTCCAGGAATAATTACTTTTTCTTCCATTTCTTTGATATAAACATGAGTGAAAAATTATTTACATAAATATGTATATGGTCGGTTTGGCCGAACCCAATATTATATAATATTAATATGTCAGTTCAAATTTTATTTCACGAAATATGGTATGAATGTTATCTGGAACGAGTCCAAAATCATTGCTGAATTTTTCGATACGTCCCAAAATAGTGTTGGAATGTTTTTGTTGTCAAAGTTTTTACGGAATCCCACTTCTTATTTGCAAACACTCATCCACTCTTCGGAACTGCATAATTCGCACTTAACTTCGCAACACCAGATGAACTTGCACTTGCAACGTTCAACGATTCTTCTTTTGATGAGATTGTAGCCCCTTCCGCAGCAGAGGTTTGAGCAGCTGTCAGCACTTGTACTGGTAGTTCGGTTACAAAACCTACCGACTGTACCCTGTATGTCTAGTGCTTGATCTTTTTCGCAAAAACTAGGAGATTTTTCGTAGTAGAGGAGATCGTAGGACAAGTCCCGTTTGTGCTTGTTTTTTCTGTGGCTCCACGGCTTGTGCTTTGGTTTACCTTTCTTATTTTTTTGGTTGATTCTGGAATGAAAACATATCACTGGATGAGAAACTTTTGAGGTGAGTTGACTGGAATTACCAAGTTATTGAGAAAAGAATCTCAATGTTTCTTGATTTTCTGTGTAACTTTCTACAATATGGAAAATGTATGAATCTAGATGAAAAAAATCAAGAAATATAATTAAAATGTTTTTTCCCAATAAAAATCCTAAAAAAATATAGAAGTGTTTCAGAAACATGAAACTGCCGATACTTGATGAAAATCCATATCAAAACTTATTTATATTTTCAAACTAGGGAAAATCTAAATGAATTATGAAATTCTCAGCAATAATAATCTCCGATGTTGATCTGATCTGAAATCATATATGAAATATTGAGGATGTCATTAGCTACTGAAATACAGTTACAAATAGGTTTATTATACTAATGCAAATTGAAGTTGTTGTTGTTTCATTGGACAACAAAGAATCCACCCTGGGTATATTCATTGATATAGAGGGAGCGTTTGATAAAACAACCTTTTCAACAATTACCCAGCAACTACACTCCATGAATGTTCCCTGGTAGTAAGAGAATGGATAGTTAAGAAGCTCTCTAGTAGAGCAATGAGTATCGATGTAGAAGACATCACATTGAGACGACTGGTCATGAGGGGATGTCCCCAGGGAGGGGTCTTAAACGTTTGCATAAACAGATGACAAAATTATCTGGCAGACCGGCAAATTTGTGAACACATTGTGCGATAGAGCGCAGGATGGGCTCAAATTGATAGAAACATGGTGTAAGAAACACTCACTATCGATCAATCCCAAGAAGACTGAGATGATCTTTTTCACTAGGAAAAGAAGTTTATCAGGCTTAAAACCTCCCGAAATTTTCAAAGAAAAAATTAAACTTCTCTAAAGAGGTGAAATACCTTGGTACTATCCTCGACAGGAAGCTAACATGGAATTCTCACCTACAGAGTAGAGCAAAAAGAGCATATGTGGCTTATGAGCAATGTCAGAGGACAGAGGGAGGCGCATGGGGTATTTTATCCCGAGTGGTCACCTGGATCTACACTGCAATAATAAGACCTATGTTAACGTACGGAGCCATTACATGAAAACTGAAAGTTCTACAAGAAACAGCCATCAAAAAATCATATCCAATAAATACAGCGACTGGCTTGCTCAAACATCACAGGAACCATGAGAACAACACCAACCGCGGCAATGGAATTAATTACGGATCTGATCCCTCTGGACCTGTAAGTTAAGGAGGTTGTGTTAATGGCTATGCTACGATTGCGCACGGCTGGTGTAAATCTCGAAGTAGAAATGGGTCAATTGAGGCTGACTCTATGGCGAAAAACGCTTACTGCGAAACTCCAGCTGCAGGAAACCAGTGATGCAATAAAACCCTACAAAATACAAATAACACAGAACACAGGCTCAGGATGTGGAGTATACTCCAGATTACTAAGCCTAAAAATTGAGTGGGGAATGGGAAAAATACTAGCGTGGTCCAAACAGAACTAGCTGGTATCTCAATCGTTACAAAAGAAATAACCAGGAAAGGAACTTCTGGCAAAAACATGACAATCTGCTCTGATAGCAGACAAGCCCTATTAGTCTCGAACAGACAACGTGTTACCTCAGAGCTAGTACTAGAGTGCCACCAAGATTTAGCCACAGCCTTGGTAGATAATAACATTATCCTGAGGTAGGTTAAAGGGTACGATAGGAGTAAAGGTAATCGCATTGCCGACTCTATAGCCAATAAAGCGGCTGGACTAAGAATTTTAGGACCCTGTGGCACCTACGGCCTGATGACTTCGACAATTGCGGACCTAGCAAAATGTTACACCCATGCTCAATCCCTAAAGAGATGGGATGGAATCAAAAGATGCAACCAGGAAAAATCTACGCCTTGCAGTAGGATTTCTGACTGGCCACTTTCAACTAAGAAAACACCTTCATAATATGGGGCTAATGGGCACACCTCTATGCAGGATGTGTAAACAGGAAGATGAGACTATCAGGCATGTCCTATGCGAGTGCCCGAAGTTATCGTCAATAAGAGAGTGTGTGTTCGGCGAGTCTTGGCCTACAACTGCCGATATAAAGGAGATGTCTCCCAGTGACCTGTCCACCTTCCTGGAAAGGACAAGATGGACGATGACCTAGGAGGAAAACTCCTCTGGAGGATATACAATGGGTCACATGTGGCCTAAGTGCTGTGGGCTTACAGATACAGAATGCAAATTGAAGTTTGATGAAACAATGGCATTCAATTGTTCCTATAGTAAAAATTGAAATTCGTAACTAACATATAGTTCAGTGGAGCAGATATTCATAAGGAAAAAAGAATTGAAAAGCCACATCATTTCGAAAATCAACCCAAGACAATCATTTCAAATTGGAATTTATTTTTTAGACCATTTCATAGAATATGAAGTGTTCAACGATATTACATGAGGCCATTTCCTTTCAGAATACGCTGTAGCAGCCATTTTATCCAAATCCAATATATCGGCACCAGTGACGTCATCTATGTTAATACTATAAAACAATTTAATGAAGTGAGAAACAAAAGATATTGCTCAGTTTTTGAATGGAAATTTAAAAATTGGGAATTTCCACCAGTTTGTCACTACTGTTCTTAAGTGCTATTTTTCATTTTCATCAAAAATCCCAATTGAAAGTAGTATTTTTTTACCTTCAACATTGAAGTGTATCTTTTCTACTACGAAAATGCCAAAAATACTACTCAGTTCATTTTTTTGTGCCAGTGAAAAAGTAGAAGATTCAAAGCTTCCTACTCAATTTCAGTAGTTATTGTAGAAAATAAAAAATGTACTTTTTCCTCCTATTACAGCTGAACTATTTGCTCATCATATTTCAAATTCTTCTGAGACTACAATCTCGCGTCACTTAGGTCAAAATCTAACATTACCTTGTACAGTCAGTACAAACATCATTTTAGTACACCCGTTGGAGAATGTACCAATTACTGAACAGGAAATTCACGCTGCATTGAGTTTAATGAAAAATAAAAACTCAAGTGGATCAGATGATCTGTCAATAATAGTTGTTAAAGAAATAATTGATCTTATTGCAATTCCTTCTACTCATTGAATGAATCAGTAATTCATACAAAGTTACTTTCCAGGAAAGTTTAAGAAAGCCATAGTTATTCCTCTGTTTTAAAAAGGAGATGAAAATGAAATAGATAACTATCGACAAATTTCTTTACGTTGTTCACTCTCAAAACTGTATGAAAAAGTGGTGGCTACTAGAATAGTGAATTACCTAGAGTCAAATAATCTGATATGTAATAATCAACACGGATTTCGTAACGGAAATCGACTTTTATTTTGAAAAACGTAGACACAAATTTCCATGTACAATCGAAAAACGAAAAACTTCACCTGCGTTGGTTGACCAACCCTAGAAACGGACACAATAGCGCAACCTCGACTCCACTTCAGCATAGTATACATATTTTAGTGGATCTAGCCGATCAGTTTGTATGGTGAGTGGTCTTTCAGGTCAGATGGTAAGAGTACGGCTCTGCCGAACTCTGAAAAACCTGATTCGGTCCCCAGTGGGGCAGGCACAAAGTATATGCTCTGCTGTTTCATCGTTCATGAGGTAGTCGGATAGTCAAGGTGCAAGATTGATACCCACGACAACCTTCCCATATGAGTGTTTTTGCACTTCAGCTACACCTGACGAAGTCTTAGATTCTATCGTGCAGGGCTTTTTCGCCTCTGGTTTTGGTGAATCATCAGTTGCTAACCTGCTTATGGGGGGTTTGTTACTCCACCTGAAGAATTAGGTGCAAGGCGGTTTCATAAGGTACCCCGCTCGTGAGCAGACGACTCAGTCGTTACCTGACTGCACCACCAAACTTTTTTTAGGTTCAGTTATTGAATCAGGAGTTGGAGAGTTGAGAAGCTCTCGCTCCTGATCTAAATTTACAGGAAGGTCGGTGGGAGTCGTAAGCTCGACATCCATCTCCTCTGTACACTCAGCGTCAGAAAGAAAGACTCAGGAAGAAAGACTCTGTCCATAAAAGTCCCACGAGTAGCTGAGAAAAGAAGGTCACTCACGGCAGAGCCCCGCATCATCGTGACACGGCGATGCTACAACAAGAGGGCGCCCGGCATCTCGGAGGTTTGTTCAACCCCCACGTCCCAAGTCAATGCACTCGTCAAAAACAGCATGCACAGTGGTGGAAGGTGAACAAGGACAGCCAACCCGCCCACATCAATATATAGTGTGTAAAGAATTTTTTGATTAATACAAAATTGAATAAGTACTATTTAATTCGAATTTAAAACAAGCGAGTTACTGGAAAACCATCAGTTCAAAGATCTCATCGTTTGCTCGCATTTTCGTTGCATACTCGTTTGGTTGGAGCCTGTTATAATCATGCCAACGTCATCAGCAAATTTCATGCACTTTCCATAAGGAACAGATTCGTCAATTTAGTGTTTTGAAATTATTTCAATTCTCATCATATTATAATATGAGTTGAACCAAGCTCCTTCGCCAAACTATTTCAGTCAATTCTGATCATATTGTTCTAAATATCAACTCCAACTAGACATTGCTCTCTTAAATAACTTCAATGATTTTCAGTTACATTTTTGTAAAGAGTTCATTTTGAAGGTGAATAATGTTTTCCTTCATTCGAAAGTTCACCATATATTTGTATAAACATAGAGAAGTAGAAAACAAAAAAAAATCCTTAACGAAATTAATAACTTCTTTTCATTTTGTTGGAAAAGTTATTAGATGAATGGGGATATCATCACTGTTTTAATGAACCCTGATTCAGAATAAAAAAGCACTGTTTTCTTCGGTTAAAGTTACCGCATATTCTCCTTTAAAATATTCCATATATTCTGAACGTACGGCCTGATGACTTCGACAATTGCGGAACTAGTCAAATGCTCAATCCTCAAATGCTCAAAGAGATGAGATGGAATCAAAGGATGTAATCTTGCCAGGATCACCTGAAATCTACGC